AACAATAATAATAATAACAACAACAACAACAACAACAACAACAACAATAATAATAATAATAATAATAATAATGTCAATAAAAGTATAAAATGATAATAATAATAATAATAATAATAATAATAATGATAATAATAGTAATATTAATTGTGCAACAGCAGCAACAACAGCAACAACAGCAGCAGCAGCAGCTGCAGCAGCAGCAGCAGTAGTAGTAGTAGTAGTAGTAGCAGCAGTAGTAGTAGTAGTAGTAGTAGCCGCAGCAGCAGCAGCAGCAGCAGCAGCAGCAGTAGCAGCAACAGCAGAAGCAGCAGTAACAGCTGCAGCAGCAGCAGCAGTAGTAGTAGTAGTAGTAGTAGTAGTAGTAGTAGTAGTAGTGTAGTAGTAGTAGTAGTAGTAGCAGCAGCAGTAGTAGTAGTAGTAGTAGTAGTAGTAGTAGTAGTAGTAGTAGTAGTAGTAGTAGTAGTAGTAGTAGTAGTAGTAGTAGTAGTAGTAGTAGTAGTAGTAGTAGTAGTAGAAGTAGTAGTAGTAGTAGTAGTAGTAGTAGTAGTAGTAGTAGTAGTAGTAGTAGTAGTAGTAGTAGTAGTAGTAGTAGTAGTAGTAGTAGTAGTAGTATAAGCTAATGATAACTTGTTTACGGTTCCCCAAAGGTGAACCATGTCGTCATGTATAGTTACTAAGGATTTACATACAGACTTCAACATAAGGTATGGACCACTTGCAAACTCTCTGAGTGGTCTTCTTGGGTCGACCTGCACGCGGGCATTTTTGGATTGATCCAGTGGCTTGAGGACGCTGCCTCAAGCGGACAATGACAGAGTGTGACACTGCGAGCTTTCTGGCAACTTCTGTGGGCTCCAACTCCATCCTGCTGCAATGCCATAGCTCTGGCACCATCAAAGTCTCTCAGTTTTCGTCTTAGTGGCATGTTGAGGCGATACTGGACTTTGTGAAAACGGTGGCTTATATTGCCACCATAGTGAGCACAGTTCGAGACCGTGCGTACGTTTATGACGTTCACCAGAGATTTCAAGTGAGGAATGTCCGTGGTGTCGCTGATAAGTCGAAATAAAACAGCAAATTTGGCTAAACGTCTCCGAGAAGTTCCGTTCTCAACGCTGTGGTTTGTCCCTTGGGAAGCTTTGCAGTACCCATTGGTAACCCATTAACACTTTCAGGGCAAAACATTTTAAAACATTCCCTTCTGTCTTTTTTGCGGATTAAAAAAAAGAGTGCTGTCTGTCAAGGTGGTCCTTAACTTTTGTTGAAGTCTGTATAAGGCGTTTTGACAAAATGAGTTACTTCTCGCAATCCACGAATGGACATGTTGTCAAAAGAATACTTCTAATTATATGGAGATTCATTCATCATCATCATTGCCTTTCTCCCCCTGGGTCAGGATATAGGCCACAAACAAACACTCTCCACCTTTCCCTATCCTGGGCTAGTCGCTTGATGTCACTCCACGTCTTCCCACTTTTCTGTACATCCATATCCGTGACTCTTCTTCAGGTTCCACGAGGTCTTCCCCTTGATCTTTTGCCCTGTGGGTTCCAATCTAACACTTTTCTTGTTATGCAGCTGCTTGACTTCATGAGAGTGTGTCCAATCCATCGCCAACGTCTTTTTCCCACCTCATCTCTGACCGGGCTCTGTCTGGTTCTTCTTAATACTTCCTCGTTGGTGATCCTGTCTGTCCATCTGATCCTCAGCAGCCTCCTCAGACACTTGTTCAAGAAAACCTGGATCCTCTTTAGGCACATATGGGATGTGTTCCACGTCTCACATCCATACAACAAGACTGACTTCACATTTGAGTTAAAAATTCTAAGCTTTGTTCGTAATGAGATATCCCTGGTCCTCCAAATCCTGCTCAAAGAAATAAATGCAGCCTGTGCCTTTCCCATGCAGGACTTTATTTCAGCGCCTGTTCCTCCCTCTCTGTCAATTATACTCCCAAGATAGCAGAAGGATTCGACGTCTTCTAGTGCATTTCCTTGTACTGGGACCTGCTTCTTTCGCAGTGCACCTATCCTTAGGACTTTCGACTTTTCGGGGTGGATGCTTAATCCATCAGACTCAGATAGGCTGATATAGATTCATTACTGATATCATTTTCCCAAAATTTCACTGTTATCAGTAATTTTCATATTATGAGTTGTATAATTCAAACTTATAAATTGATTGTGTCTATCTCTGTCCATCGCGCTGGAATTTGGGAATTTGACCAATACTTTTGTCAGTACAACTCACAATAAATATAAGGCAGCGTGGTGAAATCAGACGCTCGTCAAAACATTGAAATTCAAGAAACCCGTATATTGTTTTCTTGGCGTTGGGCATTTCTTTTTTAAAAAAATTCTGTTCTTTCTTGTTTTTTTGCTCGACATCTTTTATCTCCTTTTGAAAACACATTCCTGTTTGTATATTATAGAAGCACGGTAATTAAAAGCACAGTAATTGAACATTTCCAGTTTTTATGAACACTCAAGCTTTGGCAGTCACCAAATTTGGGAGTAGAGCTATTTTTTCGCTATTTTACCAGCACGCCAGGCGATTCCCATCTCCGTCAATCGCAAATATCTCGACTTCTAATCAAGACAGATGGGTATTCTTTTAGGCAAGACAAATGAACAAGCTTTAGATTACAATATTGATAACTCTGCATGCCCCAAAAATTGACGATCGCCTGATTCCACTGCGCCGTGACACGAATGAAGAGCACAGGGGGAAAACGACGGTCACCACAAAATGGAAATCGTGAGGGTGCCAATTTTTAAAGCTTGTGGACTCATAACTTCATGTTTGTTTGACCTGTGATTTATTGCTAAGTGTTCTGGAATTGGAAATCTAACAACACTAATCAGCCAACAGTTGAATAGAAATGATACAGTTATGAGTCAACAAGCGCTCAAAATTGGTACCTTCACGAATTTCATTTTGTGACTACTGTCGCTCCCCCCTTTCAATAAATGTTAACTCACGTAATTCGAGGCCGAGTGCTCCAGCGTGTAAAAAGGGTCGACGACTCTCCATTTAATGTCCTCCCAGTCCTGAAGCCAGTCTGTGGACAGCAGGCGATTGTGTCGTGCATTCCTGAAGACAGAAGAAAGTCCCTCTTAATTCTTTGAGCCCATAGCACCAATTTAACCGGGATAGAGAAAGTGCGCGGCATTAGCGCGTAGAAAAGGGGCAGTAATTTTCGATCAATCAGAACGCATGCGTCTGTCAATAAGTTATAATAGGTTACAAACGTGTGTGCACTCTTTCACACATGCTTTGATCACATTTTGTGCTGATTTATTGAGGGTTTTTTTTTCTTCACTATTTAGCGCTCTAAAATTCAAACAATGCAGGGGTAGGCCAGAACAACCTACTCAGAGAACCTAAACAGACGGGAAAGATCTGGGCAACGTAACTTTTTAAAAGAGCATCAGAGCAAAGGAAGAATGAAGAAACATGATCACCAATGTCTGCCGCAGATATGGCCCTTGAGGATGTTGAAGCGCTCTCTCCGTGTATTCAGAAACTCAGGAGTCCAGGATTTGGGTCACATTAGGATGAGGAGCCCAGGGCTCAAATGCTTAATTCTTGGTTTTAGTTAAAGTTTTACGGCACTTGCAACACAAGTGCCGAAGACTAGAGGTGTTACCTGACAGTTACAAAAAAGACCAACAACAAAAAAACCTCGAAACAAAACAAAGCAAAACAACAACACAAAAAAAGAAAAAAAAAGAAAGAAAAGTAGAAGAAGGAAGAGAGGTAAGAACGATGAAGATGTTTGCTAGAAAAGAAGAAGCTAGCTACCCTACGGCACCCGCCAACCACCCACGCTATTTACCCTTTATGGATGTGATAGAAGGATTGTACCCTGTCCCTCAGGACAGTCAGGGGGGGATCTAGCGTAGGCTGCAAACAAAGAGCTAAACTCACTTCAAGATTAATCCATATTATTATCTTAATCATCAATAATTTACTAAAAAGGTTTTTTTTTTCACTATCCTGATCATCATCACCACCACCACCACCACCACCACCACCATCATCATCATCATCATCATCATCATCATCATCATCATCATCATCATCATCATCTCCGCCCATTTGGTTTGGTTTTTATTGATGATGTACGTTACGATTGGAGGTCCAGTCTATTAAAAACCTTAAAGTCTTAGAACAAGCGGTAAACCTATTCAAGGATCTATGGCTATATTTATAAGAGAGCTGGAAAAGGTGTGCTCCCGTTAATGGACACAAAAATTCACCACGGTTATTTTTCGGGGGTGGGGGGGGGGGGAGGACGTAAATGGTGCAATCAGTGCCCAAGCAAAGCGTTATGCGATCTCTAAGTACAAAAGGGTTCGTTTCTGTGCCACAGGAAGAATAACATTACTTTGTATTACTTCATGTGTCCCTCAAGATTTCTCTTTCCCTCAACCGACCGCGTGTAATTATCCAGAGCTTCTGAACAATGCCGCCAGAAAGCGCCCGTATTCGCTGCACACGGGATTCATAACTGCTTGTTTGTTCTGTGACGTCACGGCGTGTAGCAGCAGAAGCCAACGTGAGTGGTTATTGTGAGTAAGCAATAACAAACATGGTGGAAACAGCTGATGTTACTTCCAGACATGAAACTGAACGTTCGTGAGTGTTTATAAATATCTCTCTCTCTCTCTCTCTCTCTCTCTCTCTCTCTCTCTCTCTCTCCCTCTCTCTCTCTCTCTCTCTCTCTCTCTCTCTCACTCACTCTTCGTCTCTCTCTCACTCTCTCTCTCTTTCTCTCTCTCTCTCTCTCTTTCTCTCTCTCTCTCTCTGTCTCTCATTCTTCGTCTCTCTCTCTCTCAGTCTCTCTCTTTCTCTCTCATTCTCTCTCACTGTGTGTATGTGTGTGTGTGTGTGTGTGTGTGTGTGTGTGTGTGTGTGTGTGTGTGTGTGTGTGTGTGTGTGTGTGTGTGTGTGTGTGTGTGTGTGTGTGCGCGCGAGTTTGTGCGAGTGCGTGAGCCGCGCATGTAAACGTGCGCAATCTGGGACCCCCCCCCCCTTTCCAAACTCGCTCGATTCCACCTAGGTTTCCAATATCCCCCCGTCTCTCCTCATTAGTTTGCGCACTCAATCCACCTCAGCGACAGGTTACCCGCCCACTGTTCGCAGACTCCCCTCAAATGAAAGATCAAATGACCCCCGCCTGCCATTAAGCAGCAGGTTGTCTGGGCTGGACAGTGGTCCAATATGTTTGCTCACCATTACCTTTTGTCTCAATGGCCGTAAACAACAAAGGAACACAGGCTTTATCGTAGTTAACTCTTAGTATTTCGGCGAGCGAGTCCAAGACTCATCTGTTTAAGTCTCAGCTGCAGTTTGTTAGGAAATCGTCGCTTCAGAACTATCTTGTCCAAGATGTACTTTAGTAAAGAAAGCGCTTTGGACAAAACAGTTATTGAGGTTATTATAAGCTGATATGTTCAGTTTTTACTACTGTCCTTACGCGTAAATTGAAACAAATGTATGGTTGAGAACGTTCTTCTTTATATGGTAGAATTGGGTTTCTTGTTAATGTGAAATGTTTTTATCTTGTGTAAATGAAGTATTACGCTCAGTGACAACAACCTGCTTTGCTACACCCAAAAACAATATATCTGCCCACAGCAGTTTAATAAATGTCTACCTATTCAAACATTTGACGAGGGAGTAGGGGATCTTGGGGTCGAGTAGTTACGGTGTTCGCCTCTCATTCAATAGGTACCGGGTTTGAATTCGGAAAGCGACGGAAATTTTTCCTCTCAATTTTTTCTCCTTTCACCTCCTTTCCTGTTCTCTAACAGTGTTCTGTTATCTGCTTTCGTCTCCACTTTCTGCCCCCACCCCCTCACCTCCTTTGTCCCCTCCTCTGGGCTCCTGACCCTTTCTACTACTCCTTGGTTCCTTTTTAATGCTGTCTCTCAGCCACACCACTGACCACACCTAGCCTTCTTGGATAAGGTCGACAAATCTCGAAGGTCTTGTATGCAAGTTGCGCAAGTTAAAATCCCTTGGTGGTCCAAAATTGATAAGAGTAGGCTTCGGCCACCACCAGGGCAGAATTCAAAATTTCCTACCAACTGAAAATGTTTGATGTGTCCAGCGTGTTCATATGACCTTAATTATGTAGTTATGAGCGCAGTACCCTCCCCCCCCCCCAACCCCTTAAAAAAAAGTAAATAACAACATTTGAGGGTCAAAATTCTGCTGACAACGTACTGTTTAGGGCTATTTAAAAAATGACTTCACTTTCATTCGAGATTTTCCAATTCAGTTTTCTTCATTTGAAACTTTAAAAAGGCAACATGAGGCAGCAACTTAAACTTGTATACTATGAAATATACAAATTCCTGTATCTGATTTGTGTATTATTGTTCAAAATGAATTGCAACATCGTCTTTGGTCTGCAGCTTTTCAGAAATATTATTATTTTGAGTAAGAAATCGACGTGGAGTCAAACACTCTTCAAAATAATAACGTTGAAAAAACCGACATGCTTCCTTGCATCCAAACTCAATATTTCCGTCCAGAGCAGTTTAATATTAATGTGTACCTTTTAAATTATTTTAGGATCTAAATTTTGCTCATTCGGCAACCCGCACTTTAAAAAAATGCATGACTATATTGTGTGAGGTATGGTTGTGAAATCAGACGTTGTCAAAATAATAATATCGAAGAAACCGACTCGTTTCTACCTGTTGGGCAATTTGTATAATATGTTTTTTCCCCCGTCTCAACATATCGTCGCCTCAGAATTATTTTGTCCAAAGTGCACACTCTACTTAAGTACACTTTGGACACATTAAATAGCATTGAGACAACGATATCTAGGCTTGTTTATGAATGCATTTCTGAGTGGATTTTACTGAAAAAACGTTGATTAACGGCATTAACCAATGTAAATCTTCAATGTCCAAGGAATTTCAAGCTATAACACTGATCAAACTTTTGCCACCATTTTCTCGCTAATTTTACTCCTGGAACTAGACAACCCCCACCTCTTTCAATCGGAAAAATATCGCGACTTTTATTCAAGATAGATGAGTGGGGATTTTTTGTACATCGAAAGCAAGACAAGTGAACAAGCTTTAAGGTAATACAAATAACTTCATATACCTAACAATAATATGGAGTTATTGATAATAAATTAAATCTTGTTACCAATATAACTCCATGTTATTTTTGGGTAAGTCCAAATACCCAAAAGTAAACGAGCGCCTGATTCAGTCATGTCGTGATACCAATGTGTTCAGTACGTCCTTAAAGTGTTAAAGATACGACCTTGTTGAACTCCGAAATACATCAAACTGCGTCGTAGGGACAGTAGGGGATCGTAAAGGGCAGGCCACAACAAATCACTTTTTGAACTCATGTAATGAAATAACCACCCCAATACTCTCTCTGTCTCTCTGTCTCTCTGTCTCTGTCTCTGTTTCTCTCTCTCTCTCTCTCTCTCTCTCTCTCTCTCTCTCTCTCTCTCTCTCT